GATGATTCATTTTTCTGCAGAAGTTAAAATCATCCAAAAAAACGGATCCTGTGTAAAGCTGAGAGCATCTAAATGCCAAAGGGGCCGTCTTGATTTACACCTGAATGTGCTGTGTATGCAACCCTGCTGCGTTCACAACTGCTCCTCACATTTTTGAGACCTGAATGGCAGTGATGACACTAGCACATGGCGAAGTGAGCTCTGTGCGGCGGAAAATGACTAAATGGACATGTAGAGGTTAAAGCAGACCTCCAGACTAACTGCATACAAAGTTGAACTACATATATATGTTTACATACTACTATATCTGTCAATAGAATTGTCATGCTGCAAAGCTAGTATTGAGATTTACAGACATCTGCTACACTGCGCAGCCAAGGCAAGTGACACACTGGCATGATGGTTAAGCAATGCTGCTGCGGGTGTCACCTCTACCCCTCAGCCTGCTCACCATACAATGAATTGGCATCATCTCCGCTGTCTTGGCAGGGATGTGATCTAGGAAGAACAAGATGGGTGGTTCTGGCTGTGACAGAGAAAGGTGTTTGAGCCTCAATAACAAAATGCCACAACTGGAGTCTTCAAAACCCTGTATGGACTCCATCAATGAACCCATCAGAAAGTGCCCATGTCACTGAAGGAGGAGGTAAAAAAAACGGCACTCGCAAGGGGATCCGTCCATCCAGTACTTTATCGTAGCCAGACTAAGGCACAGTTTGGGGGCTGAAACATGTAAGCATTTGTTGGTTCGCTGACGTTATGCCTTTTTGCAAATAAACAAATGCTTATATGTTTCAGCCCCCAAACTGAGCCTTAGTCTTGCTACGATAAAGTACTGGATGGATGGATCCCCTTTGCGAGTTACTTTGTTTTACCTATTGCTCAGTGAAGGCTCTGGCGGAAGCTTTACCAGGTACCAAGGTTTAAGCAGTGGGACTGGAGACAAGAGGGTAGAGCTGCTCAATGTTTCTAAACTGTCACTGAAGGAAGGACTCTCCCATTCTGCAGCAAAGAAGAAAGACGACTCGGACCCAGTATGTCATGTGACTGCAGATTCAGTAGAATATTCGGGACATTACGGGGGAAATTCCCCCTCTCCCAGGCGTATTTGGAAAAAATGGTATTAACCCCACCAAATATGATCCATTTCCCCCTCCTGCTGCTCTTACCTTTGAAGGAACGCTGCATCCCCTCTGCGGCTGCCAGTGTACGATCTGTCCCCCGTATACAAAATCGCAGCCCTGCACTATGTATTTCAAATTCTGCTTGCAAATAGAGAGCACACTTGTCATTGAGGTCGTGTAACCGCGCAGACCAATCAAAATTTGCTTGTGACCACGCTGACCAATGAACGCTTGCCATTTGCGAGCATAATCAGAAGCACCAAGTTCAGGAGACTGCGATGTTGTGTATGGATTGTACACCGGGAGCCGCCGAGGGGAAGCAGCATTCGTTCAAATGTAAGAGCAGCGGAAGGGGGGAGAGGGAGCAGATTGGTGTGGGGGTGATACCAATTCCCCAAATTCATCTGGGAAAGTGGAATTGCCCTTTAAGATCAGATTATTTTTAAGAATGGGGGTGACTAGCTCTATGTGGTAGGAGGGTTTCAATTTTAACACACATTTGTTTCACGTGTGTATTTAGCCATTTCCCTGGCCTCTTAGTGTTTTTAATATCACAAATGAAGTGACACCAGATATCCATTGCGCCTTTTTATAGGAATATCACTAAACAGGAAGTTACAGTGAAACATTCGCCTCGTGTCTTGCCCAGCTTACCGGGCACACTCATGATTTAAGTGCAAGATATTTTTTTTATACAGCATTCTGCAAGTAGAATTTTAACATGACCATTTCCAGACTGCACTTGTAATGAACAAGTGCCTAAAATATTTCTGTATGCCGCAGCGCGGAGTAACAGATTTCTGTGTAATATTTTTTTAAAAAGGTGTATAAAAAAAAAAAAAAAGACAAAGCACACACGTGGCAGCATGAAAGGAACAAGCTGAACATTAGGTTTGAACAAAGCAATAGTAATGTGTGTGGGAAGCATTACACACAGAGGATGAGGTCAGGAGGGCACTTTTAGCAAAATATCTGCTTAAAGCAGGGGTGGGCAAACTCCGGCCCGCCGGATGTGGCGAAACTGCAAATCACATCATGCATCTGTCTCTGGCATGAGCCTGTGGGAATGTTGCAATGCCTCATGGGAGTTGTAGTTCTACAACAGGTGGAGCGCCCGAGTTTGCCTACCCATGTCTGTACGTACCTTAAGTTCTGAAAAAATCCTGGTGAGGCTGAGTGCTCAAGGAACTTAGAAGCGCTCAATAGACAAGCTTTGATTTTAGCTCCAAGTCGTAACGCTGCAACACCCTCTGCCATTCCACACTGCAATGCTCTGCTGCTACTGCTGAGGAGCTCACACCGTATTGATTGATGCCAGGAATATACAAAAGGTCAGACTTGGAGCTTAATGTATGTTACCCCAAAAATGAATAGGTGTGTGTGTGTGTGTTTTCATTCTGCTTTTTAAAACTATAGGTTTGTTGTTTTTTTAGTTCTTTATTTGCTCTTAAATACCTGGTGATCCTGCCAGTTCCCCTTTGTATACGTTTCATTCTGATCATGCCAAGCACAGAACCAGATCTGTTCTGGCATGGTCATTTTGCTCATCTGCCTTTGAGATACAGGACGCCACGCCAGCGCACAGTGTGCCAGTATCTCCGTAGTCACTTTACCCACCATAATCCCTCCTCAGCCTTCCTGAGCTGATTGACAGCAGCTCCCAGTAGGAGTCTCCATGACATTCTGCAGCTGCCCATAGCCAATACATAGCAGGAAAAGTACTTCCCTGTTGTGTACGAGGTCAGCACTGCTTATTTTAGAGTCGCCCCCTGCTATGGGGAAGGAGTGCAGCTAGACTGTGTGGCCAAATGACAACCAAATAAACCATAAATTAAGTAAATATTTTTTTTCACAAGTGATGGCAAGTACATTTAAAAATATACTTGCTGTAATTAATTGGCTTGTGTAGCATTATGTTCACAAATGCTTAATTTGAGGTCTGTCTGCTGACTCCACTGGCTTCCTGGGTCCTGGTGTGCACAGAATGAGGCATACTTACAACTAAGGCCCCATTCACACCAGGGCAGTTGCGGATCAGTGCGGTTTCCGCGCTGATTTTAAAAGGGCGGTTTTGGGTGTTTTTAATTGCGCTTCAGTGCTGAAACGCAATTAAAAATACCCAAAACCGCTCTGAACAGCGCGGTTCTATTGAAAGGAGTATTGAAATGACGATGATCAGGGCGGCAAAAAAAGGGTCAGGGAGAAATTCGAGCGGGAGGCGGTTCGGGCTGCGCGGTCGCATGAACAATAGCAATTTATGGGATCGTTCATGGAGGCCGTACCACCCTGAACGGGGCCTTAAGGCAGCAGACAGACATCAACCTGAGCTCCAAGTCTGACCTTTGGTCTGCTCCTTCTAAAAAAAACATATCCAAGATGCACCGAGACTGCAACACTTATTTGTTCAGAACAGTGGCGAGAACATAAATCTTTGGGCAAAGCTTACTAGGCCTGACGAGGCAGCTCATATGAAACATCCGGGCTTAATACAAAGTCAGAGCTCAAGTGGATGCAATAACAGACACTGCTGGGCTAATCTGTAATGAGTTTGTATCTGGACAGATCAGAGTAGATCAGGGTGTGCAGGCATTATTAACTGGTAACATTCACCTCCTGGTATGTTGGCCTCCGTAAAAGCAGGGCGAGCCACTCAGCAACAAAGAGCAGAGCATTGCATTGTGGGATGGCAGAGCATGTTGCATCATTACTACTGGAAGCTAAAGTCAAGGCCGGTCTGTTGAGGGCTCCTACGTTCCCGAGACCCCCAGGCATGGCAAGATTTGATCACAACTTAAATGTATGTGCAGACATCTCATTCTACTCATGTACTGTGTGACAGGTTCATTTAAGGCAGATGTCTTGCAGGAAGTACCCTTTTGACATCAGTCTCCATGTGTAATGCCGCCCACACACATTATCATTGTGTTATTTAAATCACATTAGCAGTTTATTCCTTTCATACTGCCATGTGACTATTAGGCTGACCAAGGCACGAGGTGAACGGTTCATGGGGGACTTGCTTTTAGTTATCGCCATGGAAAAAAAAAAAAAAAGAAGGAACGCCCCCCCCCCAAAAGGTACACTTCACATCTTGTAACATTTGTCAGGATGTTACAAAGTCCATTTGTGTATGCTTGCTCATCTTGGCAAGTGTATAGCTATAGGTCTGACATGGTCAATGCTCGCCTCTCCTGCGGCCCCATGCCGGTGATCGCTGCACTAGTACGCTGATGAATCTTCAGAAACTGACATTTCCAGGTCTCCCAATGCTTTCAGCGGCTGATGTGCTGGCTCCAACCTTACTACTGTGTCCTGAAGCAACATAACGGTAGGGTGGCTGAACCACAGAACGAAGAGGATGACTAGAAAACTGCACCTCCCACCAAAAGCATTGGTTTCTAAAGATTCCCCAGAGGACAACTTCTCCTTACTACTGAAGCGATCAGCAGAGTGAGGGATCTTTTTCTTTGTAGGGATCCATTTATTCCGGGTGTTCGTTTTACCAATAGTCGATTTAATGACTCAGGAATAGCATGAGGTCTGTTATGTCAGAACTCATTTGCATACATATTTCAGGTAAATGACGCAAAGTATAAAAGCCAGAGCATCTATAGGCCAGCCAGGTAAACAGTATTTTCAGTAGGAGGTCAGCAACTAAAATATTGACCATGCCAAATATAGGAA